ACATGCGGCGCGTGTCCAGCGGCTCCTTCCCGGCGGGAGGGAGACTAGGCGCGGGGGACGAGTGCCGCATGTGCCCGGGGCAGCGGGACGCGCGCCGCCGGGAAGGAGCCACAGCCGCGAGCGGGAGGGAGAGGCGTGGGGCTCCCTGACAGCAGCGGGGATTCAGCTCACGCCACCCACCAGGCAACTGTCCGCTCCGTGCTGCCCCCGCACAGACCCACCGCGCCCCGCATATGCCTGAGGCGGGCCAGGGGGCGGGAGGCTCTGCGGGGAGGGCAGCGTGCGGGGCCGGGGCTAATGCCCCAGGCCCCTTTAAAACTCTTTTTTTTTTTGCTCCGCCCCCCCCTTTTTTTTGCTCCACCCCCGTCCCAATATTTTCTACTGCCAATCTGGTCACCCTATCTGAGACTGGCGTCTCTGCTCCCATGAGGCCTTTGGGGCCAGCAGAGCCAAGTCTGCTGCTCGCTTCCAGGGTATTTACTGCTGGTGTATGAAATGCCAATATGGACAGTGCTGTCCACCCATCGGACAGGCAGACTAATGGCTGTTTATTGCACACGATGCCCCTGTAGGTGAAACTCCAGGGAGCCCTGGGCCCTCTGAGGAAGGAGCTGGAAGAGGCCCTGGCTCTGACGTCTAAAGAGGAGGAGAAAACCACAGAGTGGCAGGTGGGTGTCCGGGTTTATTCCTCCCTGAGCCTTTCCCCCTGCAGCTCCCAGGAGTGACGGGGCCGTAAAGCTCCAGGATGAGGTTATATACCTGCTCTGGTTGTTTGCTCCATTGCACAGGCTTGGTGCCGGCCATGGGTAGCGCATGCATCCGGCATTGGGGAGGCCGGGCGTGAGTGCCGGAACCTTCCCTGCGCCCGGATCATCGCCCTGCCCACTGCTCCACCCCCATTTGTCCTCCTCTCCCTGAGGCCCCCCTCACGCTCTCCTCCTGCTCTGCCCCATGCCCTGCTCCCACTCAGCCCCCTCCCCAGAGGCTCCCCTGCTCACCGTTCACTGTTGCAGCTCAGTCCTCTTCCCCCACCCAGGCCCCCTCGCCTGCCACTTGCTCCTTTCTGCCCCCTCCTGCCTTAAGGGCAGGTGATGGGGGAGGGGTGGAGAGGAGCAAGTGGCCGGGCCCCGCCACACAGCTGATGGGTGGCAAGCCGCGGGTGCTGCAGGCTTCGGGAGAAGAGTGGGAGTGAGGGCTGTGAGCAGAGCGCAGGCAGCACTCCAAAGGCAGCAGGTCTGCAGCCTGCCTCCGAAGGGAGGGGAAGCTGCTGAAGCCTCTGGCCATGTTGGCATCTCAGCAGGGCCGGCCTTAGGCCAATTCCACCAATTCCCCCGAATCGGGCCCCGCGCCGAGTGGCAGGGCCGCCCAGAGTAGGGGGCAAGTGGCAGAGAATCCCTTCCCTGGCTAGAGGCGCCTTTTTAATTTTTACTCACCCAACGGCGCTCTGTGTCTTTGGCGGCGGGTCCTTCAGTGCCACCGAAGACCCGGAGCGAGTGAAGGACCCGCCGCCAAAGACTAGGAGCGCGGCCTGGTGAGTACAAGCCCCATGTGATTTTTTTATGTTTTTTTTGTTTTTGTTTTTTAAGTCAACCCTGCCGGGGCCCCGTCAAAACTATTTGAATCGGGCCCCGCACTTCCTAAAGCCGGCCCTGCATCTCAGGGAGAGTGAGAGGGACTTTCCCCAACATCACTGCGGCCTGAGTCACACTGGGGGGCAGGCTCCCCCCAGGGTCACCCAGCACCTCTGTGCTGAGCTGCAGGGGAGCTGGACAGGCCAGGGCAGAGCAGCCAGCCCCTCCCCCATCCAGGGTCAGCACCGGTTCAGCATCGTTCCCACGGCTCCTTTCAGGGAGCAGGTGGGGACATAGCTGGGCAACCCGCTGCTCTGTGAGCCTAGAGGGCTCCCTTAAGGCTGCGATCCCAGGGGCACTGGGCACATGGGCATGGGGCACTTGACCAGTGTGGGTGAGACCAATGCCAGCCTTGTCAATGCCCTGGGCACCCAACACCCACGTGAGTCCCAGGCTGGCACCCAAAGGACTATTAGCACCAGCCCTAGGTCCTGAACTTTGCAGCCCTGGGAGCAGATAGTCAAAGAAGGAGCATCGCCCACATCCCGCTGCGATGACTCCCCTGGGTGTCTGAGTGCCCAACACTGGGCACCCAAATCCCCCCAATGAATACCCTGTGCAGCCCCATGTAAATCTCTCCCATTCCCTCAATTTCTCCCCACTCCACTGTGTCCATCCCATGCCACCCACAGTAACATACTGCGTCTTTACAAAGAACCCTGGACAACCCCGCGATGGAACTGGCCATATTAACAAACCCTTTATGGTACATTTCCCAAAGAAGTAAATATCCTTACAAACCTGATACTGATCTAATATCCCCTGGTTCATGGTCAGAGGCCCAGTCTGTGTAACTCAACATCCGGCTCACGTTTTCTCTGTGCCTTTCCTATTTTTCTATCTCAAGAGAAAAGTGAAAAATAAGAGAGAGACGATTGCAGGTGAATTTAACAGACTGCACATGCTACTGAGAGCGGAGGAGCAGCTGCTTCTGCAGAGACTTTAGGAGGAGGAGAGGGAGACTCTGCAGAGACTACAGGAAAATGTCACCAAACTCTCCCGGCAAAGCTCCTCTCTGCAGCAGCTGATCACAGACATCGAGGAGAAGTGTCAGCAACCAGTTGTCGAGCTGCTAAAGGTGAGACGGCATCAAAATTCTCCCCCCATCCAGAATTATAGCTCAGATCCCTGGGTCTGGATTCCAACAATTAGAGTAAACGTGTTCTGTGGTTTACTGACAAACAGAACATCTGCCTAAGGGCTCCATCAGTTCCAAAATATCGCAGTTCATGTCAGAGGGGAATTCTCCTCATGGCGACCCAGGGAGGCCATGGGAGATTAAATGGATGATACAAAAATTATACGGAGCTAAACCCATCCCTGCTCTGACCCCAGAACATTGGACCCATCACATTTGATAAACACAGATACTGATGGGTTGTGTCCTCAGAAGGGAGAACCCTTTTAGCTAAATTCCTGTCTCACCTACATAAATGAAACAAGTGTTAATGCAAAATGGTGTATGAGATTTTACCACAAAACAGTGGAGCCTGGGAGTGTTGATCTATTTTCTAGATGAAAGGTACATTGATTCTCTTTTTCCTTTCAGGATGTGAAAAGCACATTGAGCAGGTGTGTTTCCCACTTTCATTGCTCTTATATTCCTGGTGGTGGTTCTGGGATGATGTGTGTACAGAGCAGCTGAGTGATGATGGGACGTTTTCTTCATAGGAGTGAGAATGTGAAACTCCAGGAACCAGAAGCTGTTTCTACTGATCTGAAGAACGTGTATAAAATTTCCCTTGACATGAATGAAGTGCTGAAGAAATTCGGAGGTGAGTGGAGTCTACTGGGACATTCAGCTGTATTGTGCCTGGGGATCTGGACAGCGCCTGGGACCCCAGGACACGCATGGACCCAGCTGACAGGCTTGGAGCTGTGTGGTAGCTGGAGGCTGGTACTTGCCCAGGTGTCTGACCAGGCCCCATCACTCTGACATCCTGATCCCTCCATGGCTGAGTTAATGGGTGTCCCTGAGCCAGGTGCTGTGAGGCCTGGACTGGGCCCATTGTGCTGGGAGCAGCACAGACTGGTAACAGATGACCTGTCTGTGCCTCTCTCCTGGGACATGTGAGGGCTGCATGGTGTGGCCACCGCTCAGCACTGCCCCCGCCTCCATTAGCCAAGGCTGCTGAACTTTCTGAGCTGTAGGAGGGGCTGGTCTGGCTGCTTCAGTGTGATCTGGGCCGTGTGTTACTGGGTAACAAAGCTGAATCCTACGGGCCCCTCATCTGCTCTGAGTGCAGCCCAGTGTGAGGTTGGGTCAGTGGTTTGCTGCTCAGTGAGTGAGACTTACTCATGAGAGTGTGACCCTGTCACAGTGTTTGAGCA